AGAGAGAGGGACAGACTGGAAACTGATTCATGCTTATATGGGAAAAACAAAGAAAAAGTATATCCCTCCTTCCAAACAAGAACCTAACAAACTCTGGGACGCACATCTCAAATACCTATTACATCCACATTCTATCCTGAATACAACCAGAGAAAGGCCTGGCACCACCTTCTCTAGTCCTTCTCTTCCCCACACATTCTGCCCACGGTACTCCTGTTATGAATACTTACCACATGGTACTCTAATCATTTGTTTATATGTTTGTGTGCATTGTGATGTTTTCAAAGGCAGGAGCAATGCTTATTCACTTTGCTACAGCCTTACAAGGACTTCAAGAAATATTTGATAAGCAAGCAAATAATGATCCTTTAAAACCAGAAACTATTTGTGTACCATTTATAAGGTTTTCCAAAAAGAGCCACTTTTTAAATTTTGACAAAAACGTAAGAAAGGAAATTTAAGTTTTAAAAAGATATTTTCTACTATCAAGCTTCTTCTCTCTCTTGGCCCATGTAAAATCTTCTAAACCTCACAGGGGCAAGGAATGGTAAATCCTTTCCTGGCATAATCACGGTCCATAGTTGCCCCAGTGACGGTTTTGGATGCTGATGCTCCATTTACTATGTGAAAAGACACAGCAGCCTGAGTCAACCCAGTGGGAGGCAAGTCTGTAGTATTTAGGGATGTGACTCAGTACTGTCCTCAAAATACCTCCCTGAGGAAAAAACAATCAAGTCAGCCTGAAAATGGTCACCACTCACATCACAATCACTCAGACTGAGTCTGAAAGCAATGGTGAAGACACTATGACTTAAGGAAGAAGAAATAAAGTAAAATGCTATAAGCCATTTCAAAGGGCCATATTCCACACATAAAAACACATACATGCCAGTCGCTTAAGTGTGTAATAAAATGTTTTCGCTGACTGTTTAAATTAGCAATCTAATGCCATGCTTTAATTAAATGCACTCTATCACAGGGAGAGAACATGCATGGTGGCACAGCCCTTCCTTAGAGATAACTGCAGAACAAATAAAGTTTTGTTTGCTGTGTATTTGTTTCATTTTGTTTCAGTTCTTTTATTTCTATGTTAGGCAGAATGATTTATTTGAAATGAATTTTTAGCAACTTCAAAATCATACAATTTGCTATTTGGGGAGCACAGCTTATTAGTCAACTGTTGTTAGAAAGACTTGGGCAAGTTCCACTAGCACTGTCCAGCTATTTGATCTGAATTACCTTTCTCTGGCTCTGTAAAATACAGGTTATAATAGCATCTACCTTGGAGCCTTGTTATCATGGTTAAATGAAAGAAAGCATATAAAGCATGCTTTACGGGATGCTGGCATATAGGAAGGACTCGACGGATGTCTGCCACTATCATTGCTGCATTCAGCTTCTTCATTTTCTGGTTATTTTAGCACTCACCTGATTCTTTGTAAGAACCTTAAAGGGGAGTCATCAATTATATGGTTTCTTGGAAGTTCTCTTTTAAAAGAGAAGGAAATGAAGAAAAGTAAAGCGAGGGGAAAGGAGGGGCAGGGAGGAAAAAGTTAGGGAGAGCAGGGAAACAAATGTAGAAGAAGAGAGAGAAAGAATAGCAAAACTGAATGAGCAGGATAAAGTACACATAGCCAGTCTTTCTCCACACCATAAGAACTCAGAAAACAGTCAGCTGCACTTGCAAATGTCTGTGGTTAGTGGCTGCCAGGCAGTTTAAAAATTTTAACCACAGACATCCGAACACCTTCAAATTTGAGAACACAGAGCAGAACATTGTCATAATAACTTCAAATTCAAATAGCAAAGTCTAGGCAGGATCTCGTCTATAAAATTGTCTCTTCTTCTATTTCTTTAGTTTCCCTCTCTTGTGAAATATTTAATTTAAATTTTATGACTGGGCATGGTGACTCATGCCTGTAATCCTAGCACTTTGGGAAGCCAAGGTGGGTAGATCACCTGAGGTCAGGAGTTCGAGACCATCCTGGCCAACATGGCAAAAACCCATCTCTACCAAAAATACAAAAATTAGTAGGGTGTAGTGGTAGGCACCTATAATCCCAGCTACTCAGGAGGCTGAGGCAGGAGAATCACTTGAACCTGGGGGGCGGCGGTTGCTGTGGGCTGAGATGGCGCCCCTTCACTCCAGCCTGGGTGACAGAGCGAGACTCTGTCTCAAAAATAAGTAAGTAAATAAAATTTTATGTGTACCGTTTCCCCCAAAAGTCAAAACACATCCTACCATTGCTGTGAATCTCTGAAACATATTTACAACGTAAATGTCTTTTTCATTTTGCCATTCTATTCAAGAATATCTAACATGGCTAATCTAATTGTAGAACAGCAGCCTCATTAATGTGCAATAATGACTTGGAAACCTGTTTCAGATAACGATATTCAGCCAATTACTGTGTGAATAAACCTCATAAAAACCCATCAAGGATATTAGAAACCGTGCAAGGAAGCATGATCAATTCCAAATGACAACTGATGTGTAAGCTGATCGTCCCTGGTTTGCTTTCTGAGCTCCAGCCCCTGATACCAGGCACTCCTGGGAGGAAGCCTAGGATTCATTCAAATCTTTTCTAAAAAGCAAAACTATAAACACACCACAGAGATATCTGAAGTTAGCTCCTACTCAGGGAGGGATTAAGTCTTTCATATTCGTGCTCAGTAGTTTGTGTTTTCCGTTGAGATGCTATTATTAGGCTGATTTTCCTTTTCTTCCTGTGTCTTATTACTCTTACTTTTCTTTTTCCCTGTAAAATCACATCATATGAAATCATGAACATAGACACGATTACAGGTCAAAGAAGTAACAAATGCCACTTGGTGAGAAATTGTTTCTATGACAGACAGGAACAGCCTCTGTTTAAATATTTCCTACTAAGGTGACCCTCTGTTAATAAATAGCTCCAACCATTAGAAAACTTTTAAATGTAACAACATCACCAATTTTTATTGAATGTTCACTAAAACATTCAATAAAATGTGTGGCAGACCCTTTGCTAAGCACTTTAGAGGAATCCTCTCAATCAATCCCCGTGATGGAACTCTGAGGGTGTAACCTTGCACCCATCTTAACCATGAGAAAGCCAAGGCTCACGGGGTGATGAACCTTGCCTGAAGATACATAGCTGTTAGTTAACAGAGTTGTGACAAAACCCTGGGTTTCCAGAACCCAAGCCTAGGCCTTACAACTTCTCCTCCCAGGTCCTAATGTCATGCCCTGTGCTCTCTCCCCTCTTTTCATCTATTTGAAAACTGCCCACGAAGCCTCCACCCCTGTGCTGCGTTTTCACCCGAGGCTTCCTCAGCAGGATGAAGAGGAATCTGGGAGCTTGTGGAGTCCAGGCCTCTGCAGATGGAGAGTACCTAAGAGCCAGAAGGGAAGGCGAGGCCTCCAGTCTCCCAGCCCAGATAACACAAGCTCCTGTACTTCACGCATCCTCTCTTGTCACTCTCTGCTCATCCACATGTTCCAAGCCCTCAAGCCCATGACAAGGTATCATGTCCTTACCTATGGTCTATTCACATTTCTTAGTTACCAAGAAGGACCTCTCTTCATTCTGCTATAAGAAGCCACACAGCGAACCCTGAGTCAGAGCTGCCCTCCAAGGCTAGGCAGCAAATGTCCTTCTAAGGCAGCAGAGCTGGAAAGGTTTCCAGAACAAGCCACATCAGTTCCTATCCTATTTGGTGCCCACTACTTTGTAATGAGCTCAAATGCGCAATCCAAACCAACTCCCCCACCTCTTTTGGAGGATTTATACTCTGAATATATGTATCTATATACCTATATAACTAAAATAGTTATATAATTTAGTTATATAACTAAAATAGTTATATAATTTAGTTATATAGGTATATAGATACATATATAGTTATATAATTTAGTTATATAGGTATAATATATAATTTAGTTATATAGATAATTTAGTTATTTAGTTATATACCTATACAACTAAAATAGTTATATAGGTATTTAGATACATATAATTTTTGTTTTGTTTTGTTTTAGACAGAGTGTTGCTCTTTTGCCAGGCTGGCTAGAGTACAGTCATACTGACTCACTGCAACCTCTGCCTCCCAGGTTGACGTGATTCTTATGCTTCAGCTTCCCCAGTAGCTGGCATTACAGGCGCGCCACCATGCCCAGCTGATTTTTATGTTTTTAGTAAAGACAGGGTTTCGCCATGTTGGCCAGACTGGTCTGGAATTCCTGACCTGAGGTAATCCGCCCACCTCAGCCTCCCAAAGTGCTGGGATTACGGGTGCGAGCCCCCCAAAAATATTTTTTAATTAAATTCAGGTAGTGACTTTGAAAAAATACTAAACTCAGATAATGACTTATAAAATTAAATTCAGATAGTAACTTAAAAAGAAAAACCTCACAGCTCTGAAATTATGTTTAGGAGCAATCGTTTTTATTAATCAATAGTCTTACAGAAAAGAGAGGCAGATCTTTCTGAAATACCTATAGATATAAGCAGAATTCATCAGCAACCTTGTCTTTCCAATTTCTCACAGTCAGGTGGCAGTGCCTATGCAGAGGGAGGTGACGGATTAAGCATTTATAAAATACTTGCTGAATTTCAGGCACTATACTAAGTGCAATAAGAACAAAAATAGATTATGCATTGTCTTTGTTCTTAAATAGTCTGAAAGACAAACTACACTCCTGTGACAAGCACCAAAGGCCTTTGGGGCAATTACAAAGCAACATATCAACACATACGAAATCACAAAGTACAAATCCAGCAGCCAAGTGCTGACAAGGAGGATCTCCAAAGTTAAGAGCCTTATGCAAATAGAGATGTGAGAAATCGTTTTTCCAGGGCTTAGTGTCAAAGACAAATCTGGAGGGGAATCTCAAGAGTGAACAATGTTGCTGCTACCCCATAGAAGGATGTAAATATGTGCAAGTGTGCAGTGGGGCTACCTGAGAAGGGAGGATTCCTTTAGCACAAGTGTAAATAAAATGTAGGGTTCTTTTCTACCTGAATTGACCAGTCGTTGCTCCATCACCCCACAGCCAAGAACTTCCAGCCATTCTCCACGGAAGTTGATCTCCATCTCAAAGGAAGGATGCGTAAAAGGAAAGTAGCAGTCTACCCATCTTATCTCCAGCCCTGCAAAGTTGGCAAAGAAACAAATAAATAGTGTTAAATAGCTGTCTGCCCTTTCTTCTGATCAAATTTACCCTTACACTAATGACACCAATTACTACATTCTGAGTAAAATAAATAGCAAACAAACTAATTTACAACGTGTTAGGGTGAGGCAATAAATCTTAAAACTTGTGAAAAACTGGGCATGTCTTTTCCAATATCAAAAACACTTTGTGTAATTCCAGGACCCTCTGAAACCAAATCAATCACTTGTCAAATCCCTGCCACCAGTTGGCAGAAGAAAAAACTAGGCAAAGATCACGGGAAGCCAAGTAAATCTGTTAGTTTCTATACAAGAAAACGACATTATTTCAGAGTTAAAGAAATCACATTTTCCTCCAAACTTATAAATCAACAATATGACCAATTTAAGATAAACTGATCAACTTTACTTCCATGAATATATATATTATTTTTAAGTTTATAAAGCTAATAAAAAGTCCGATTAAACCAAATCTATCAGTCAATTTTAAGTAAAACATTTTAAAAATACAACATTTTTCCTAGAGATTAATGACAAAAAATACATGCTAAATGCCAGAATGAATTTCTAAATAAGCAAACATAAATACAGCACTTTTGAGAAAAACTGCAACATTTTAAGCTATGGCATTATTATTTAACAAGAGAAAAGACTAATGAATTCATAACAATTAAAACCTGCAAAGAGCAGAGGTCACTAAAAGCAGAGAAACCATACGAGAGGGTCACCTAGGAGCTCAATGCCCACTGAGAAGAACACAGAAAACAGTGGGCATTTTGACAAATCCGATGTTCCTCTCCCTGTGTTCCTTTCCCTTCCTGCGCTGCCCTCTTGTTTTTTTTAGGCTACACTTTGCTAAAGGACTTGATTCTTCTTAGTAACATGAACAGCACCCTTGTGAATTAAAAATACTATATTCTCTCACCCCAAACGACCTGCATTTTAAATCTTGTGGGAATCACAATGTGAAATAAATAAAAATAACAAAAATGGCATGCATCTATTGAGGACTTACTATGCTTCTACCAACCCATTTCACAGATTCGAGGGGAAAAAAAGGCAATGTCTTGCCCAAAGTCCCACAGCTAGCAAATGACTGGGCCACTGGGCCAAACCCAAGTCTGCCAAACTCCAAAACCCCTGCTCTTGTTGGCTTTTTTTTGTTTTGTTTTGTCGATAGGATCTCACTCTGTCACCCAGGATGGAGTGCAGTGGCACCACAATCATAGTTCATTGTAACTGCAAACTCCAGGGCTCAAACAATCCTCTTGGCTCAGCCACTGAGTAGCTGGGACTACAAACGAGTGTCACTATGTCTGGCTAATTTCTCTCATTTCTTTACTTTAGAGACAAGGTCTCGCTGTGTTGACCAGGCTGGTCTTGAACTTCCAGCCTCAAGCAATCCTCCTGATTTGAACTCCCAAAGTGCTGGGATTACAGGCATGAGCCACCGCACCCAGCTCTTGACAATTAAAACATAATTGCCTGCCCATCAAAAAAGATATTTTGAGAGTCAAACATCAGATAAGAGTGTAATTATCAAACACGGGGGCTTTCCTATGCCCTAGATTCCACAGGAGAAGGCAGAATTTTCTTCAATTGTTTTATTTTAATTGCATTTATTTTCCTTCTTACCAGCTGTCTATGACAAGTGTCAACTGATGTCTGTTTACAACAGTAAAACAGTATTTCCCCCTCTTATTTTCTATGTGGTATGATAGACAACATTAAAGTGCACAAATACAGGTATGCAACGTGATGAATGTTGACATAAGTATGCACCCATGATACTCTCATGATCATCACGATAATGAACACAACCATCACCTCCCAGACTTTTCTCATCCCTCTTTGTAATCCTGCCCACCTGCCCACTGCCCCACTCTTCTCCTGACCCCCCACATCCTCAGGCAACCACTGATTTCTTCTGTCACTACAGATGAGTTTGTGTTTCCTAGAATTTTATAAAAATGAAATCATATAGGATGTACTCCTTTTTTTCTGGCTTCTTTCACCATGGTTATTTTAAGATTTACCCGTGTTGTTGCACCTACCAATAGTTCATTCATTTTTATTACTGAGATCTCACCAACACTTTTTCTAACTGGGAAAAAAAAGCTGGCCTTGTTGCAGGCCATCGGAGAAATGTCCCCAAGTCCCAAGTCATTGACTTTCTGTCTACAAGCTCAGACATGCAGAGCCACTGCTTATTTGGGACTGATTCCGAGAAGAAAGTATTCATATACCTGTGTGCTTGCCCATGTTTGGGACCAGCAATTCCCTATCAATATTTTCATAAAAAGCACCAGAGACAATCTTGCTAACAAACAGAAATGTGTGACACCTTGGGACATATAAGTGAGTGCAGAAGGAATGGCAGACAAACAATTTTTATCTTTCTTTTTATATAACTCTTGGCAGGGAAGCAGAAAACATTTTATGAGAACAGTTTGGAACAATATGTTTTATGTACATGGCTTTTGATATTTGGCTTGAATTTTACCAAAAGCAGGAACAGGACTCAGGGTTAATATAATGATTTCACATAATTAAATATAATTAATTTTATATAATTAAACATTACCCAAATGCTTGGAACATAGCGGCAAAGAAAGTCCTACACAAGTTAACTTTCTCGGCATGGCCTTAGGTTCTTTTAAAAGAAATCATTTTTGATAGGCTAAATAAATATGGAAGACTTCAGTTATACAACTTCATCTCTCATAACTGTAATATCTTAGGTTCCCACTAGTCCAAGAGGAAGACATTTCAAGACATTAATGAGCACTCAAAATACTTACAAGTGTTGATTCAAGTCATTCCATAATCAATGTTTATTAAGCCCTAACTAAATGTCTACTGCATATGGTCTCATGGGAAGCCAGGTCTCTGCTGAGACAGGTCCCTGTTTACACACACCCATTTGAGCTGCTGGTGCTGATGGTGTCAGTCGGCACAAGATAAGAATAGAACTGAGAAGTGATGTGATGGCTCTCTCCTCTCCAGGAACCTTCCTTCACTGAAGGGCTTTTGCTTATCACTTCTATAATGAGAAAAAATGCTATAGCTTTGGACTGAAAATTTCTGTAATGTTGACAAGTTCTTAAGATAAAATATGTTTTATTAACCCTTGCTCTTTTTTGGTTTAAGATCTCAGCCACCACAGCCCTCAGTTTCTTCTTGCTCAATCATCCTGCAGGTGTCTTTTGGTAACAATGAAAGTAATTGCTCCACAGTGAAAACTACACATAGCAAAGCAAGAAAAGCAGAGAAGTTAGCCAGTGTTTTTCAGAATCCATCAAGACGATAAACACAAATGATTTAATGGAGCAGAACCTACTGACAATATCACAGGGACTAAAACAGAAAACAGATTGGTAAAACTTATGTCTAATGAGACCAGGAAGTTTTTCATCCTTTTTAACCCCCTTAGATCCTCTGCTCAGTTTCCTTTTTACATCTATACAACCCTACAAAGAATGACAAATCTATACACCATTCACTTCCTTTGTTCTGCTACTTTAAGGCCTTCTTCAGTTCTCAAGATTTGCCTCTTTCACGTAAATAGACAAAAGTCAAAAATCTGCACTTTCGAAGTCTTACCCATAAAACCTTGGCCTAGACCAATGTCCCAAAGTAATTTCCCCATGTTTTCCTCTAGTAGTTGGATGGTTTCAGGTCTTTAATCCATTTTGAGTTGGGTTTGTATATGGTGAGAAAGAGAGAGGACTAGCCCAGAATCATTTATTAAAGAAGGAATCATGATGGCTTCGCTAAGTTCCCTGATTTGATCATCACATATTGTATACATGTATTAAAATGTCATTCTGTACTCCATAAATATGTACAATTATGGGTCAACTAAAAATTTAAAAGGCCAAAATCTGCAAACCACCATTTTTGAGTAAACTATGGCTCTATTTCAAACATAAATAGTAATTATTTGAAAGTAAATTATATTAATGTGCACTTTTTGCCAATATATTATATTCTCTTACACATTTTAACAATTTAAATTTGTTACATTGAGGGCTGGACACTGTGGCTCATGCTTGTAATCCCAGTACTTTGGGAGGCTCAGGCAGACAGATTACTTGAGGTCAGGAGTTCAAGACCAACCTGGCCAACATGGGGAAACCCCATCTCTATTAAAACTATAAAAATTAGCCAGGCATGGTGGCACACTCCTGTAGTCCCAGCTACTCAAAAGGCTACGGCAGGAGAACTGCTTGAATCTGGAAGGTAGAGATGGTGATAAGGCAAGATTGTGCCACTGCACTCCAGCGCGGGCAACAGAGAAAGGTTCAGTCTCAAATAAATTCATCAACTAATTGTTACACTGATACATTAACAGTTATTTTGTTGCTCGTCATCACTGGTCATTAGAGAAATGCAAATCACAACCACACTGAGATACCATCTCACACCGGTTGGAATGGCGATCATTAAAAAATCTGAAGACAACAAATGCTGGAGAGGATGTGGTGAAAGAAATGCTTTTATATTGTTGGTAGGAGTGTAAATTAGTTCAACCATTGTGGAAGGCAGTATGGCGATTCCTCAAGGATCTAGAAATAGAAATACCATTTGACCCAGCAATCCCATTACTGGATACATATCCAAAGGATTATAAATCTTTCTTTTTTTTTTTTTTTTTTTGAGACGGAGTTTCGCTCTTGTTACCCAGGCTAGAGTGCAATGGCGCGATCTCGGCTCACCGCAACCTCCGCCTCCTGGGTTCAGGCAATTCTCCTGCCTCAGCCTCCTGAGTAGCTGGGATTACAGGCACGCGCCACCATGCCCAGCTAATTTTTTGTATTTTTAGTAGAGACGGGGTTTCACCATGTTGACCAGGTTGGTCTCGATCTCTTGACCTCGTGACCCACCCGCCTCGGCCTCCCAAAGTGCTGGGATTACAGGCGTGAGCGACCATGCCTGGCCCTATAAATCTTTCTATTATAAAGACACATGCACATGT